GTGCAGTAATGCATCCAATCCATAAAAACACTCTATATAAAAGCCCACAAGGGTTATCTCGGGAGAGTTGCGAATGATTAAAAATAATTTGCATTTCTTCATTAGTTAATGGATCTGCGCCTTGATATGAAGTTGATTGTTCCAACTCCTTCATACGGCTATGGAGAATTTCACGAAATTCCTTGAACTCAAAATCCGTATGAACATTAACAGGTTGATGCTTGAATGTAGTTTGCAAATAACGGTTGATTGCATTAATTCCAACATATAAGGACTCTGAAGAATAATCCATGTTGTTTTTTGTTTTTACTTGAACTATGAATTCAAAAAAAAGACTCGCAATAGCTACTTTATCTTCAGAAGTGTCAAGATTGAAATCAGGTTGGACGTCATTAATGTAATCTTTAAACCGGTTAGCCCATGTCAACGTACTTTTTTGAGTGTTTTCAGGTACGGCTTTTTTTTTATAAAGTTGAAGTTTTTCAGCCGATGGTTTTTCAAATTTTGGATGGATCACCATAAGTAGAATGAAATTTGGAAGCCTTAATAAAAGAACGTTTCATTTTTATTTATTATTATTATTTTTTTTTTTGAGTATCGTATGTTTAAAGAATATTTGGTTATTAATTAATTTGACATCATTTTATATCAAGCTTTAATTACGTACGAAATAATGACGTATTTATCATGTGAGAGGTCAGGGTATTAATTAATAATATGGTTCCGTCAGTGTATACGTCATACCTTACGGATAAACTAGTTATCTGGCATGATGTAATAGATACATGGGTATTCGACAGGATGATAGCAACGCACGTGGCCGAAGGCCACGTGCTTTTGCTATTATCCTGCCGAATACCCATGAATCTGTCACATCATGCCAGATAACAAGAATTTATTAATCGCATATATACAATTAAGTTGTATGTAATAATTTTATACTTCTATTATTAAAATGACTCAAACTATAAGAATTTCTTAATTTGAATTAATTTAGTAGAAATGGCTCTATTATATGAAAGAAATAAAGAGAGCTACAAATAAAAAAAAAAATACAGCATAAAATAATCAGATAGATGCCAAGAAAAAGTAATTTAAATTTTCTATTTTGTCTTATAATTATCATAATAATCCAAAGTTTTAAGTTACTTTTCTTAACATTTATCTAATTATTTTTATAAGGCATCTTTTTTTATTCTGTAGTTTTTAACATTTTCCTTAATATAATAGAGCTCTTTTTAATAATTTAATGGTTTTTATTCATCGTTTTTATACAGTATAATAAAGTCATATACAATAATTTTTTTATTGGAATATATATATTTTTTCATTACAAAAAATTTTAGAAATTGACAAAAAAGACACTTTGTGCATCCAACGGGATAATAGTTTTAGTCATTAGAAATGAATTTTTTTAATAAAAAAAATGTATACTAAAAAATATATATAAGACTTTATATAGTATAATATTAGTCGATATACATACGTTATCAAAGAAGTAATATTAAAAAAATCGGCAATCAGAAATCATCGATTTCTTTTTTTTTGATCTGCAAATTTCACATTTTTTTTGCAAACCGCAATAAATTACTTGACATTTATCAAATTATTTTACATGTATTTTTTTATTCTGTGTTTTTTATTATTCTCTTTTATATAATAGGGACCCTTTTATCATACTTGAGTAATATATTAAACTTTATATTCACTACTAATACTATATATGATCAAATATTTAAGAGAATATGCATTTATAGAATGTATTTTTATTTGAATTGTATAATATTTGTGATGCGTTTATAGATATATTTTGACTAAAGTTGTATATACAGTAAGGATCCGTATTATTTCACTGACAATAACTTCATAGACACCACATTTCACTGACAATTATTCATCAACAAGTTTATTTTACTGAGTCTATTTCACTGAAGCTCATTTCACTGATATATTTTTTCCTATAAATTATACTAACTTTAACTATAATTCTAAAGAATTACTTTGCCTGCAAAATGAGCTTCGGTGAAATAAACTTCCTGTAAAATGACCAGGCTGGGCTTTTCCAAGTTAAAACCAAGCCCGGAAAGTAATTTTGAGCCCAAGTCCGGCCAAAAAAAAGCCCAGATCATGGGCCGGGTCAGGCTTTCTTTAAAAGCTAGGCCCGGCCCTAGCCCGGCCCATTGGGCTTTGTCATATAGAATGAATTAAAAAACAATCTATTTGAAAAGAAAATTTTGATTAAATTTTGTACATGTTTGATTTCAATTCTCCAAGTTAAATTAATTAATAGTTTTTATTATATTTTAAAACATTATATCTTTGAATAATTGATACTTTTTCAAATTAATATATCTTGTTATTTATTAATTTGATGTAAACACAGCATATAGACCAAGCTTGTCTAAATCAAACCCAATTACTAATCTCTTCTAGGGTTGGTTTGGTCCAGTCCAGTCCGTCCCGGTCCCTAATAAAACCGGTCCTAATATATCCATTAGTTCCGTCCGGTCAGTCCTCGGTCTCAAAGATAAACTATTTCATGTCAAAAATTACCTATTTTCACGTCAAAATAAACTATTTTTTACAAAAGTAGTTTATCATTTTTAACTATCATATCGAATAAAATTTATGTAATAATGGTTTTTAACTATTTAAAAGTTTAATTTAATAGTTTATTGTTAACTGGTCTGAACTGATTAAAAGACTGAAAACCGAAGGACCGTTAACTGGTTAAAAAGACCGGTCCTTGACCGGTCTTTTCAAGACCGAGCCAACCCTAATGACATTGTAACATTCCCTCTTATTGTAAATGGTTTAGAATATCTAAATAAACAAATTCATTAATTTGGTAAAAAAAAAAATCAACCTTTCCGCCGATAAGATAAATTTTTTGATCAAGAACTGCGCTACGGAGTCTTCTTTCATCCAGGGAAAACGTAGTAACAGGAAGACATTAAAAAACTTGAAAACCACAAAACACTTCTCGAACTTGGATGGATTTAAATCATAATACAATGTATTGGTTCACATAATTCAACTTTTACAGAAATTATTGTGTAGCCATGTTATTGACGACTGCACTAAAAATTCTCATATTTGAGCAGTTTACGATTTATCAAGTTTTTTTTTATAGCATAAACACTTGAATCAACGACATAGATTATACAATGTGAGAAAAATATTATAGTCGTCAATAACTGCTTCACAATAATATCGTTATTGGATAAAGTGTGAAGTATTCACATGGGTGTTGAATGATGGTCAAGTTCATATTTATAAATATTAAAATTGACGGTGTGTTAAATTAACATCCACATTAGTTAATTACAGTATATTGATAATATTATCGTTAAAATGTTTTGCGCTCATTTTTTTTCGACTCCGACTCCTTCTTTATAACAATAGCGAATGTTTTATCAGTATCACCTATATCAGCTTATTATTTAAGATACTCAAACAATCTCTTTTTGCTATTATCTCCTACTTCAGTCAAGAATTTTTTGAGAATATTAACATATATTTTGTTTATAAGATTTATTAATAAAGAAAAATAGTATACAGTAAAGATAAATTACATACACACGAATTGAGAATCCCGAATAGTAGATTTAGAGATTGGACTCATCTAAACTCGTGATTCACGAACGAATTAAGCTCAGCAAATCATTTAATTGAGTCAATTTATTCGATCATTTAAATTACGATTTATAAAAGTAAATATGGTACCAAACTCGGTCCCTGAAAAAAATCTAAATAGCAATGTTAGTTTTCTAATCGTTTCAATAATTAGATTTTTTAAGAGCTGTGCCTGTAATAAATTTAATATTTCGAAATCCGGTTTCCATTACGATTTAAATAAGCAAGCATATTTAATATATTTTACGTTAACAATTTTAACTCGCGAACCTCAGGAACCATGATTCGAATCGTGATAAACTTGAATTATTCGAGTCACGATGGCAAGTTCAATCACTAGCTAGGTAGTATTCTTACAAAAGTTTGTGTAATCCTTTTTTATCCGCATAAGTAACTGCACAACGCTGTTAGATTTTGACATGTTCGATATATAAAAACATAATATTACTTATTTCTTTTTATATATTTATGTTATTACTGTATTCGTAAAGGATGGATGTTAGAAATTTTCCGGAGCAATCACACGACCTTGATAAGTATGTATTTAGTAATAAACAAATTCAAATATCTTAAAAAATTTTATCCAAAATACGGCAACATTATTTTTATCTTTCGAAACTCTTGTGCATGCAAATTTTATAAATTTTGGCCCAGTATCATTTATCTTTCATTAAAGTAATAATTGTTTTTCAAAATCATAAAATTTAATGACTATAAATTCATTTATTAAATCTAGACCTGTACATCGAAAATATATACTTAATTATTTAGTTTATACAGAAATACTGTTCTTATCAATCAGCAAATTTCATTTTTTTTAAAAAAAAAAAAATCCTAAAATTAGACTTAACATATCTTTTTAAAAGTAGCGAAAATACTTCAACAGAAATTGTATGAGAATTCAGAAAACTTGCTAATGTCTTAGTTATACTCGAGTTAGCGAATTTTCCTAACTTTGTTCCAATTTCCTAACTTTGTTTCAATTATATGGCAGTGAATACTGTATGACTGTAATAAAGAATACATTATATATATTAAGTTACTTTGCGTTGACAGCAACAAGCGGCACATTAGTGCATTAATAATTAGAAATGTAAACACACACAAATTATAAAAATACAATTAAAAATTACCTATTTATTTTTATTCTTTTACAATGCATAGGACAATTTCTTGAACTATTTCTTTTTCTGCTATGACATTTTAAATTTTTTGTTCCTAGAAATAAAATTTATCATCTTCCATTAAAATAATAATTGATGGTTATGGTATAGTTACTACCGCTGTTATTAACAACATTATTACTAAAATCTCTGTCACTACTTTCATTATTATCTCTGTCACTACTTTCATTATTATCTCTGTCACTACTTTCATTATTATCTCCGTCATTACTTTCATTTTCATTTTCATTGTTTATCGTTATTGGTGATACTGGCGGTGGTGGTAAAATAGTAGAAGAAGAATCTCCAACAGTTTGCGACAAATTTTCTGGTGAAGAAGTTATGGTAGGTGGTGTATGGGAACTAGGTGCAGTGTTTACTTGGTCATTTTCAGGTTGAGTTATGGTAATATTATTCATTTGGGATTCAACATATGCCGGTGGGGGATCATAATTAAAAGGCCGACGGAAGGTACGTATAAAAGCGATACCTCTTCCCCTTGGTGAATTTCCTATTTCTTCTATTGATGAATCTCCTGTTCTTCCGTATGGTGTATGTCTATAAAAATATATATTCACATTTATTTTTTTAAACTAAAAACATTTTATGAAGGCTCATACCGTTGTACACGACCACGACTTGATGTACGTCTTGGTGGAGACATTTTATCATTCGAAGATTCGACGTATATCATTATATAATTCTAAATTACATATCTTACCGAAAGTGAAATTTAAGAGTTTCTGGATTAGGTTAGTACAGGTTTATTGGTATATTTAACTGATCAAAAATAATATACCAATTACTCTTCAATTACATCTTGCCAATAAGATTTTGAACGATACTTTAATTTTATCTATTACAAAAAACTGATATTAGTGCATTGAATAGGTGCCTGGGCAGTGAACACCTGGAGTGGTTACCAATCAAAACACAGACCTTATTTAAGACACAATACATGGGTTAATGTTGTTTGCCATGAGCAATAATTACGAAATCTGAAGATATTGATCAGCTTCGTTGGTGGTACATGAGCTAGACCCCAGAATTTCGTCTCCGAAATTTACCCCTGAAAAATTCTAACCAATGCACATAACTATTATGGAGATGAGAAATAGCATGAGATGAATTATTGAAAGATGCCTTATTATTGGTAAACCAAAAATGCACCTTTCTTCATGTAGCTTTGAAAGTAATCTTATTTAATTTTGAATTTTGATTGAATTATGTATCTGAAGAAATGTGTTCTAGTGTTTTAGTGTTTTAGTGTTCTAGTTTTCTAGTATTCTAGTGTTTAGTGTTTAGTAAAAAATAATTTATTTTCTAATATTATCACGACATGATTCGTTTGATGACTTTTAACCATATATTGAGGTAAATGGAATAACAAATAAGTTCTGCAGCAAATTTTTTACAGTAACTCATAATAGATTTATGATAATTTTCAATACAACCTTGATCACTATGTATCGTATTAGCAAGTTGTAACAGAATTTTTTACAGTAACTCATGATAGGCTTGCCAGGAGAATAAATCCGCGAATTGCTTTTTAATCCTATATTGTACGAAGTCTCTTATTTACACTTGGGATTTCTTGTGGACTGATAGAAGGGATCGACTCCGAGCAAAAAAAAAAAATCCAAGGCACCCTAAGGACGTGAGATTTTATACAGACTGAGCAAAAAAATGGATGATTTTATTAGATAATATGTGTAAGCAAGCAGTACAAGAAAACTATAAGCAGAGTATGAGATCATATAAGATCATTGGATGGGATATCCGCGACGTGGCTGTGATACGATTTTGACTAGATAACGTTATTAATCAGACACCATATGTGAAAGATATTATTTTATCTAATAAGAGAGTTCTAGAGTTAAATCTTTACCATAAACAACTGACCTTTTGATATTAATAAATAATATTACTTTCATTAATCCTAACCATAATTTTTATACACGCGATCCGTTATCATACATTGAGCCATCCATGCATATATGTACACTCTTGCATTCACCATCGAAGCTAAACCGGAATGTACGTGCTTCGCTCCGCTGTCCGATGGTAATACCGGGTACTGTATTATTTGACAATCAAATTAGTAAGTTAGTGATGTAATCTTATCGTAACGTACGTATCAGGTTATCGCTACTGATAAATTAAAAATTCAGGTGACCAATATAAAATACTACAGATTAGCAAATTTGGAAAGCTTGTGCATTACGAAGATTGTCCACCATGCTTAGTGCAAATCATGACGATAAATGAAATCAGAAAAATTTGATCGTCTATATGCCCAAAAAAATTTTAGTTGCCTGGGCTCATCTACATGATGTGACTGAGGCTTCCATTTATTAAAACAACTTGATTTACTATTATATATGTACCTTTCTTGTTTAGACAATGCTTGGGCTTCATTTTCGGGCATTTTTTTATTTGTATAAACCGAATTATTACACTGTTCACAATGTGAATCATAAAAATATTGAAATTGGCATGCCGTCTATTTACTATTAGTGTTAGTGAATAAACTTGTTTACCACAAAAATCCCGGCATTAGTTATAATGTTAGGGTGTTATGTTCTTTCGGGGAAAATGGTTTTCGGGAACCGAATAAACTTCATTTTTAAGATATCCAAAAGTGAAGAATACTTAGTGAAACGGCATATTATATTGTCGGTACATAAATTCCGAAAATTATAAATTTGCACTTTTATTTTTATGGTACGTATGTATGACAAGATCGTACTTAAAACAATGTCCTAGAATTTTTCTTGTACAGCATAGAATTTGTTTTCTTTTCTATTTTTATGTTCCAAAACTTGATCTTTTACGAATTGATGGTTTTAAATAGTAAGAGTTCATTGAAATTCTCTTACAATTTTCTTCTTAATCAAGTTTTTTTTTTATTCAGTAATTTGTTTTTATAAATAAATACTTTTTTTTTTTTTACAAATAATCTAGATAACATAAAAGTCGAATAATGGAAGCAAATTCACTAGATAATTCATTTTCTAATTTAATCATGTACAAGAGGGATTTTCAACCATACAATCAAGATCCATACATTACTGGAGGTGGATTAGCGTATGGTATTCTATGTACATTTTCCCTCTTCTTAATGATCACACTCTCTATAATCTATGGACGTCTCGAATACAACCGAATCTTTGCTTATTTTTGCGTATCAATGGTTGCTTTATATATACCACATGTTCTTGGTGCATGGATATTCGGTGCTAATTTACGTCGTGCTTCTACTACGTTCTGCTGGATTCAGGCATTATGGATAAATGCATCGGGTATTGCCGCAGGTCTTTCAGTATTAATTTATTCTTATGAAATATATAGAAGAATAGTATGTCATACGACTGATGGAGAATGGAAACGGAGGAAATATTACACTGCAATATGTATTATTTTTCCTTTGTTGGTTGGAGTCATTCCTCCATTTTTGATTGCTGAAAGACCTGATGGAATTGTGAGTTATTCTACATTATAATGTGCTTATTTTTATATTTATTTTTTTTTTCGATTTACAATTTTTATTTTATGAATTAAAGGCACCAGGTCCTTATTTTTGTATGCTTTACGAACCATCAATACCTATGGCATTGGTCAGCGTTGAAGGTTGGAATACTTTAACGAGTATTTTCGGGATTTACTTTTCAAGTAAGTTCTTATTATCGATCTAACAATAATACCTGATCCAAAGTTTTTCTCTTGAATCACAAAGACATTTATTTCCATGGTAAAAAGTGAGAACTGTAATTGAGGTTATCGCGCTTTCCTATACTTATGAAGAGTCCGATAAGACACCTCAACATCAATTAAACGCTGGGGCACAAGATTTTGATCACGATCTAAATTCTCCAACAAGCATAGCCACGACGAATCCCCGTTTTTCAAATATTACAGATAATGGTATAGTGAGTTTTTATAATCCAAATAGTACAGCGGAAACTAATTCAACGCGTACTACATCATCGATACCGGTATATGTACTTTTACGCTTGATCCTTTTTGCTCTTTTGTACTGTGGTATTACTATCTTGAGTTATGGTCGAGATTTATATCTTAGTATCCGAGGAATAGAGTATGACCGTGTCAATCCTTCATATTTGGAATATGTAGTTGCATTATTAGGTATAGTAATATTTATCGTATTTGGCACTTCAATAGAAGCTTGTAAAGCATATTGGCGTTTCCTTAAAGCGTTCTTAAGTTTTCGATGGTTAAAACGTCGTAAAGATAGCTTTGGGGATTGGGAACCAGGGAATGAATAGAATTTAATATTTATATTATTTATATTCAAAAGTGATTCTGTTTATTGCCCCCGTAATTAAATTACTGACACTTTTTGAAAAAACTGTTTATTAAATAAATTTATTAGAAAGCGCACCTATGATGGTTTTACACATATTATATGTTTTATATATATATTTTCTAAGTTTTATAAGTTTTGTATATAAAATTTTTAGCACAATTTTTTCACGTTGGGGTTTAGTATTTAGGGTTAAAATTAAGGTTTAGGAAGGTTTAGGAAGGTTTTGGGGCATGAGTATTTTTTGCTTAAAGCAACACATGCTATTTAATTAACTAGTTTCTAAGATAATGCAACATATGTAGTAAAACACCATAGGAGCGTTTTAGTAAAAGTGATTAAATAAACGAATGGTCTATGATATCTTTGATCTGTTAAAGCTACAGTATATTTTCATTTTATTTCTTAAAATATTTTTAAATCGAGAAATGTAAGACATTTTAAGCTTAATACGGCCATAAGATACTATACTTACTAACAATTTAACGTCAAAGAATATGATTATTTCTCGCTATTCTCGATCGAGCAATTGGGATGCGATATCGGGTGTAACGCGAAAATTGAAGCAATTAACGATTTTTAGCAAAAAAAAAAACTTCTTGCAAATTTTAGGTTAAGTAATTTCCTAACTCTGATCTTGAGTATTGTTTTTTTCTTTGATTCATTTAAAGTTATAATTTAAATATAAATTTT